CACACTCTCTCTCTCACACACACACACTCACACACTCTCACACAAACACACACACACTCACACACACAAACCTGTGTATCCGTCGCTCCTGTAAGTCGGCCTCATAATACCCGTGTTTGCAGTCTTTGCCCACCAGCTCGTGTGGGTGTGGCTTGTACGGCTGGTTCTTGGTTACCAAGGAGATGCGCACTCTCAGCGGACCACTGTAGTTGTGAACCTATGAAAAGAGGCGCAGAGAGTCACGTGACCCCCGCGGTGTCATGTATCAGGTACAGCATGTGTCTCTATGTTTAGGAGCAGATCTCAGCGTCTCACCTTGATGGCGGGGTGTGTTTTTGTGGACTCGTTGCTCTTCTCTCCTGGGATGCTGCCGGCCGATCGACCCTCGCATTTATAGCGGAAACGCATCCCTCGTGCTTTCGGCTGCTCGATTATCTCCACGTACGGAGGGCCTTTAGACAAACACACAGAAACACAGTTACGGTTACTAAGTGCTCAAATTGTGAAATATTATTACAGTTTCAAACGGCTGTTTTCTATGTGAATATCTGTTAAACTGTAATGTATTTCTGTGCAGCTAGCTGTATTTTCAGCATCATTACTCGTCTTCAGTGTCACATGATCTTCAGAAATCAGTATAATATGCTGATAGTCACATTATAAATGTCTTTACTGTCACTTTTGATCAGTTTAATGCGTCCCTGATGAATAGACGTGTCTCTGAAAGTGCAGTGAGCTGTGCACAGCTTGCTCTATTATTATCGTAAAACATAATTTGACTGTTTAGTAGCAGATCTCAAGGTAAATGTCGCTGTCTGAGAGAGTGACTAGAGTCAATCCCAAATACAGTCCCAGTGTAATAACATGACATGAATACAGTAGACTTCTCCTACCTTGGGACACCGGGGACGGCCCCCACTGGTGAAACAGTCCTGAAAGAACAAGGGATGAGAGATCAGTCACACAGAGATATACCACAAAGAGCTAAACTCTCTCTAGAGACGCCATACGAGTCAAACCTGCCAAAAACACACCTAAACCAGACAAAACCGATTACTCTGAGAGAACAAAACAGGGCTGATCTGATAACAGCTGTTCAGCAGCTGCAAAATATAATTTCTTTATTACTTTGATTTTGGGGTAAAATACAGCATGACACGTTCTACACTGCAATCTAAAAGAAAAGGTGTCAAATAATAGTTCAAATTAGGGGTGTGCGATATCATGATTCTTGTTTGTGGACGATTAAAATGTCGCCATGATCTGCTTTTGAAGGAATATTGTAGTATCGCTACAGCACACATTCTATCAGTATCAGTTCTGACGCCTAGGTTTGGGTATCGTTTGGGGTTTTTTTTATACCGGTGCCAAATCGATACTTTTAAAATGGTTCCGGTGCCTAAACCGATATTTATTCAAAAAAATAAAAAATAAAAATTCCCCCAAAAATGATGGATTGGCCATTAGCACTATAAACACACGATGTTGGTTTCATTCATACTGGACGCCAGAGGGCGCCCTCACACAGAAAATCCACATATCCAGTCACAGAAGTAGAGAACTAATGACCCTCCAGGAAATCCCTTATACGGACAAAGACATGCTATTATAGCTGTAACTGAGTAAACGGAACATATAAAGTTTTGAATGATAAACAGTTACATAGGTACCGTTGCCATATTGGTAACGGGTTTCGGTACCCAACCCTACTGACGCTTCCGTCTCAATATACTGAACAACGCCACATACATTCACATCAGATGTTACTCAGCGGTAGAGTTACACTCACCGACACTGCACTTATTCACAATCACAACAACAGTACATTATTTGCAAGTGCTTCAAAGTCTTGCCGGTTAAACTTTTCATTCTCGTGCTGTTCTGACATGCGCTTTTTTCTGAGCGCGTACACCTGAAAAAAAAAAAATCCTGTCAAATAGCGGCTGATTACTGGACTGTAGGGATGTAACGATTAACTGCGAGCCGGTTGAAAATCGATTCAAATATGTGACGATTCAAATCGGTTGAGATGCTAAACAAATCGCGATTCATTTAGGGGTAGGAGTTTATATGAACGTATGTCTGAGAGGAACTTACTGTCTTTAGAAAAGTTTAGATGGTATTTTTTCTTTTCATCTTGCCTTGCTATTAAGATTCAGTTGGCTCTCTATACACTTAAACGTTATGGAAAAAACAGCTTGGACAAACTGCTGCTAAACATCTTTGATTTGCCATGGAAAAAGTCAAATGAACATGAATGACATGAGGTTGATTAAATGATGACAGAAATATCATTTTTGGGTGAATTATTCCTTTAATGGCCCATGAGCCATTCACAGTGTTGCATAATGTTATATCACCAGAGAGTAGGGATGTAACGATTAACCGCGAGCCGGTTGAAAATCGATTCAAATATGTGACGATTCAAATCGGTTGAGATGCTAAACAAATCGCGATTCATTTAGGTGTAGGAGTTTATATGAATGTATGTCTGAGGGGAACTTACTGTCTTTAGAAAAGTTTAGATTGTATTTTTTCTTTTCATCTTGCCTCTGTATAATGCATATTAAAGTTAGTAAATTCAGCGCTGCTTTGTGTACAGCGGAAACCAGGAAACGGTTTAAGCGCCACCTGCTGGCAGACAGTGAATCTGCATCTCATTCAGCTTTGCTGTTTCATGCAGATATTTTTATTTATAGTTTCACAAAACTGAAGTCAAACCATTCTGTTTTTGCTTCAAATTTCGAATCTATATAATCTAATTTAGTTTAAATACTGCTCATGTTGCATGTATGCAGCATCTTTGTTTGGCTCAAGATTAAAATGCAGTGGTTGCCTCTAATTTTAAAAGGAAAGAGCACAGACAAAGCCTTATTTTGTTTATATGAAGATATTTATTTTATTTGTGTTACTTATTTATTTAATTTGGGGCTTGTTTTAGAGGCGAGACAGACGAGAAGAGCGAGGCGAGACAGACGAGACGAGCGAGGCGAGACAGACGAGAAGAGTGAGGCGAGACAGACGAGAAGAGTGAGGCGAGACAGACAAGAAGTTTGTTTGTTCTGAGTTCTTTACGTTTGTACAAGGTTTTCACCAGCAGGTGTCGCCAGCACATGCCGTTTCAAGTGCCTCGAAACATCGAATCATTTTTCGAAGCAACTGGTTCAATTGGTTCAATGCTTCGAAAAGCTTCGTTTCTCCCATCGCTAGAGAAAATACTGCAGCAGGCGGAGAAACTCACTTCATGCGCGAAATATTGGGGGAAAAAATGCTAAATACTGAATTGGGTCTGAGGGGTGTATGTGAATGTGTTTTCTGAGGGGAACTGACTGTCTTCAGAAACGTTGCAAATGAATATTGAAGTAGCGCAGCGCTGCTGTGTTTACGTGGTAACCATGGAAACGCTGTGTCTGCTGCTCTATGAGCGCCTCCTGCTGTCAGAGAGTGGATCTGCGTCTCTGATGTCCCCAAAAATGAAAGTCCTGTCATTATTTACTCACTCTCATGTTGTCCCAAACCTGCATTAATCTCTTTCTTGTGCTGAACACAAAAGAAGACTTTTATATTCAACAGAAGAAAGAAACTCATTCAGGTCTAAAACGGCTTGAGAGTGAGCTAACGATGACAGAATTGTAATTTTTTGCGTGAACTGTCTCTTTAATGTTAATAAAACAACAACACACAAAGAAAAATCCCTCACTGCTCTTGAACTTTAATACAGTTGCGTTAATAAGAATCAGTGTATAATTGATGTATATAGTGTTCTATTTTTATACTTGTTTTATAGTTTCTTGAATGCTGCTGTTGAATACACCTACTGAAAAATAAAGCACTGTTTGTTTTATTTATATATCACGTGTGTTTGTAATGTGTATCTTTGTTCTTATTTTATAAAAACAAAGATAAAATAATTACAAAGGTTTCTATCTTCGTCCACTTTGGCCTCAATATCTGCCAATCTTTTTTATTTTATATTTTGTTATCTTAGAAGGCTTTGTTTTTAAGATAGGGGAATTATTTGGCTGTGCTGCTCAGAAAACCTGCTAAATAAAACCAACATGACGCATTGTATTTTGTTGTGTATTGTGGCTTGAAGAAAATGCCTGTAAACTTAATAGAAAACATCCGGTCAGGAAACGACAGGTGGCTTTCCCATTTTCTACAGTTGTGTTTCCATAAAGCTTCACGAGTCTGACACTAAACACAAGAGAGAGAGACGGACAAAGAGGAAAATCCAGAAAGGGGCGTGAGACGGCAAACACACTCTGACCTACTTAGACCTGCATGAGGCTGGTTCTGACTAACCCGTCCGCTCAACACCTCGGACCCGTGCGCTGAACACCTCGGACCCGTCCGCTGAACACCTCGGACCCGTCCGCTGAACACCTCGGACCCGTGCGCTGAACACCTCGGACCCGTCCGCTGAACACCTCGGACCCGTCCGCTGAACACCTCGGACCCGTCCGCTGAACACCTCGGACCCGTCCGCTGAACACCTCGGACCCGTCCGCTGAACACCTCGGACCCGTCCGCTGAACACCTCGGACCCGTCCGCTGAACACCTCGGACCCGTCCGCTGAACACCTCGGACCCGTCCGCTGAACACCTCGGACCCGTCCGCTGAACACCTCGGACCCGTGCGCTGAACACCTCAGACCCGGGCG